TTGTGGGAACCACTTCCAGACGAACAAAACCATTGCTTGGCCCTTTTGATCAAGCAAAACCCCACCACTGCAAGTTCTAAAGCTGAAATCAAACCCACTCCGGAGAGGAATAACTTGTAATGGTACTTGCGTCTGTGATGTGGAATTGAAGAAGAACTTGGTGCAAACTCCTGAAATAAATTAGACCAGCAAGAATCTTTGAACTTCACTAATGCTGCTAATGTTGTCTATGTCATGGTGTTCTTAAGTTACTCTATAGTGACCCTAGCCTCTCCGGGTCCACCAGGGTGTAAAGGTGGGTACGGATAAACATATTATGGATAAGAATAGACTGCCATGGATTCTTATCGTAGTCTTGGAGGATTTATTGGTAACACTCTTAAGTCTCTTCATGCGTAATGGTTTTCCAGAATAAAAGCCCTGACATTACATTACTGTTGTCATTTTGGCCGAGTTTTATGCCGGACATTTGGATCAGAGCATAACGTTTGCAAGCTGAAACTACGTCCCGAACGTTCTAAAGATAAAGAAAGGCTGAAAACCCTATCTTGGCAGAGAAGTACCAGAATGGACATTGAAACCGCGCTTTCGATCAAAAACTTCCGATTTCTGCGCTGTCATTATTTACTGTGATCCCGGAGTTCACAAGAAAGATAGTTTCGAGTTTGAAGCCTGTAACATGCCAAAAAAAGACTACGGGAACATTTCTGCAAGGAAACAGATATTTTTAAAATCCTTCGTTAAAAGGCTGAAGTATATATTCATTTAATATGCTCACTTTATGTAGCGAGTAAAGGTCTGTTTTAAGATAGATCTACTGAATACATGTCTTGAGAGTGAAGAACAGACCCTTAAGTATGCTCAGTTAAAAACAAAGACAGTTAAGATGGCAATGACTCTAGGCAACGGAAAGTATTTTAACTCAACTTTACTGACTCGAGTTTATTCTTTTGATATAAACATACAACCCACGATCTTTTTATAACGCTGCAAGGGCGGCAATAACTAGTACTGCAAAACACGAAAACAGTTACAATGGCAAAAAAAATGTGTCAACTGTTTATGCAAGGAAACAGATGCAATTCATTGATATAATTAAGGTTGAAACGACTTATGGACTAACATTTCCTCCACGGAAAGTTTATGCAGATTATACAGAGTGAGTCTTACCTTCACTGCAAAGTGATGAAAAAAGGAGAGCTGTAAAAGAAAGTACAAAATACATTATAGAACGTATTTTGCCGAGCCAGATTATTTACTGTTTTCGGAGTATCTGTCAGCTCCTGATTTGTTTTATCATCCTAAAAATTCCGGATGTACTCCGACGTGAAATACGTGTCACGCATGTCTCAAATAATCTCAGATCACAGGAGGAAGCTAGATTCTCGAAATGGTTAACACAGATTTACATGCATATAATTTAATAACTTCAGTTTGTATGGTTTCTTTTCTTAGTTCACTAAATTCCAGTAGAGTGCAAGTTCAAATTTTCACCAGAAATTTGAGCCAGTGCTGTCGTCAATCGAAGCACGAAGAGTATAGTATTAGATCCTTCCTATCCTCCCTACCCATCTTAAATATACATTAATTTCTTGACTCATCTATCGCGTGATAAGTTAATAGTTGGCTCAAGACCTTTAATAAGCCGAATCAAGTATTGAATACAATTCTCAGTGAAAACGCAAAGAAACAGTCGAAATCAAAAATGGTATTTTTTGACTTTTTTAACATAATTTGCCGATAAGATGATCATTTTGACAACCAACTTTCGACTCTTTTCTAATGGCTGCCAGTAAATGCAGAGAAGCCAGTCAAATACGCAAAGGTTGCATGAATTATACTACTAATGGGACCATACGTGTGCACGCGCTCGCCGTTTGTGACGCAAGAGCGGTTACTCGCTTCCACTTATCAGCAATGGACGAGGAAGGTAAGTTAACTGACTTTAATAGACTGTCATCTTTAAAAGCGATAAGCGAATCACAGCAGTGTACTTGAAACTGCTTTGGCAGAACTTTCCACAGAGATATTCTGCCGCATCTAGTGAAAAGCAGTTTTTCCGTGTATACCATAAACGTTAAACTGATTTATGAATAGAAAATGTTTTCAAGCCAAAGGAGGTTAGCTGTTTTCAAAACAGAAACATTTTCATTAAGGAGATTAAAACTTATTCTTTTCATTTTGTAATTCTCACCTTCTTGCTCCGGTTCTGAAGCAGCGAGTACTCAAGTGTGAGAAAATATAAAAGGAAAAAAATGTTTAGTTAAAAAAAAATGCACTTAAAGGAGACAAGTGCGTAGAAGAGGCTGGAATCGCTGTTTAGTTTTAATATCGTATACCATGTTTTTATATTTATTTTTTTAGAGCCCGATGACAAAAGCGTAAATTACGCCGAGGGCAAGGCACAAGCATCAGAAATACAGGTGAAACTTACTGACTGGAAGTGTTCTGCACAAAAAAATTTCGGAATTGTTCATTGTACTTGGGAAGCTTAGCCCTTATGGATGAATAACCGTCCTGTTGTAGCAATAGACCACTTTGCATATATTAAAATTCACCTTGATAGAGAGACCTAGAGGACGCAAACAAAGGAAATTGAATGATCATGTTTATTATTCATTTCTTTAGTTTGTGTCCTCTAGACCTCACTATCAAGCTGATTTTTAATATATGGAAAGTGACCTATTCCTTTAGGAGATAACCTCTGCCGGGTGGGCGTATAATGCGATCGCCGATTGTACCCTACCAAAGACGTGATAGTACCTTATTGCAAGTACTTTATTTCGTTGTTGTCTTCATTGTAGTTAGCTGTTTTCAATTTGTTAAAATGATCTGATTTTGTTTCAGTTCCCGCTTGTTGATTCACAAGGTAAAATGCTGTTACCGCCGGCAGAACTTGGAGAAGGTTGCCCTGCGCCTGTTTACGCCAACCCCCGGCAAGCGTTAAGGATTCTCAAGCGAAGAGAAATGAAAAGAAGACTTGCTTTGTCAGGAAGATTAAGAGTAGGGAGACAAGTAGGTCCCCGGGGTCATTGTCTTGTGTTCCTAAGCAAGACACTTGACTTTCACAGTGCCGCTCTCTACTCAGGTCATGTGTATAAATGGTTGCCAGCAAAATTAATGTTGAGGGGAGGGGCAGCCCTGCGATAGACTAGTATTCTTTCTAGGGGGAAGTAGAAATACTCCTAGTCGCTTCATACAACAGAAATCGGAGATAAGCGCCGCCCTGATGTGCCACTTGGCTTGTATGCAGACTTAGCCTACTTCCTATAATCTCCAGCAAGTACTGATCATGTAGCACCACACTTTATCTTTATGTAACACCTTTGGCTTTACCACCCAGATAGTTGTGTCTTCGGTTAAAACTTCGTTAATAGCTAGTTACTAAACGTTCACCAAACATACAAGTATATTGACATTGAAATGTTGTCTTTTTGAACTGTAGGAAAAGAAGACATTTGAAAATGAATGCAAACTTGAAAAAAACGACGGGACTGCTGACTAGAGTGGAATTTCACCCAACTCCAAGGCAATCATGATGTGATCAACTGAGATTAACAGTGGATTTATCTTACTAACTTGTACATAGTAGAACTTTGTGTGAACATTGTAACAGCAGATGTAAACTTAAACAAATAAAATAAAAAGTTACTATTAGGAACTAAATGAAAGCATTCCATTATCGGCTAGCTATAGCTGAATGTGATGTTTCTAATATGGATCTCTTTCTTGTTTTGTCTGGCATGGTTCTCCCAGCAGGCACGAAAATCCAATGGCGCAAGTCTCTATCGAACTGGAGAGCTCTAAATATTGCATTTGTTTTTATGATTGGCCATTTTCGATGTATTAAAATCCTAACTTGGCTCTTGGGCTTTGGGGAATAAAACGAAAGAAATCACATCGAGTTTGAGGGGAAAATAATTAATTTCTTTTGTTTTATTCCCACAAGCCTCGGAGCCATGTTAGAATTTTAATGTATGGAAAATGGTTTATTATACAGGGACCGCGGAGACCATTTTAAAGCGGTAGAGCTAAAAATCCTGCCAATACAAACAAACGTTAAGGTCAGTGTAGACGCGTTTTATCACTTTCTAGTAGTAAAATCCATATTTTATCCATGTCATCTGGAGCCCTAGAAAATAAATCCCAGCAGTGTAAAAGTGTTAGGGCTATAACCCTACCAGCCCCTTCGCCTCCGCGGTCCCTTTATAAGTAACACGTGATTTCCTCAAGCACACGAGTGGTCATATGAAAACTCTAGCACTTAACGATTAACACTACTCGTAACAAAATTTAAAACGTTCTCTGGCTAAAAATGTAGTGTAAATCCCAAATTTCACTAGCTTTATTTCATACGACCGCCTTAACTGGATAAAAATTTCATGAACAAATAATGGCAAATGTTTTCTGGGTTTTATTTTTCAAACTAAAACAGTCATTTTTTTGTTTGTTTTTAATTTCGGGGTAAAATTTATAGACGACGCAAGCACAATCAACCAAGCAAACAAAACATTAAGGTAGGACACACACCAAAAGTCTATAAATCTCGAAGATATTTTTTCGCTTGTCTAACGTTCGCGATGCAAAGATGCGTGACTTTCGTGATCGCGTGACACCATTTTTTTAATGACGTCCTGCTTTTTTAATCGATGTTTCGTGGAATTTTGTCGAGATCAATTATTCAAACATGATCACTGACCCGTGTGCTTCTTCGGCTGTACTGCCACAACGTAAAACTTGAAATCTTGCTCGGCTTCTAAAGAATCGCCAGGAAACGTCGAGGCTGAACTTCGCTCTAGAGGTAATTTTGTTTGAACTCCTTTCTTGTATGAAAAGTAAAATATGTATGTAGTCCATGGGATTGGCCAGGCGCGTCTGCAATCGCGTTGTTCATGGTCCAACGTCAAATATTTCTACTGACCTTAATAAAAGAACTCCGTTCTAGCTAAGCTCAAACATCCCCAAAACTAGTCTGATTAGGGCTATGGCTGTGTTGAATGTTGGGTTACGGTTGTACCGTGCCTGGTTGGCCAAAATTGTGGTGTGATTCGAGAAACTGTTAACATTTCAGATATTTCAGTGGTGTTTCAGTCGTGAAATGTGTATTTGGTAGCCTGTGGGCAGTGATTCGTGATTTCGTCAGATAAGTATTTGTGCAAATCAAATCTTTAGCAATGCCA